TTTTTTTTTTTTTTTTTTTTTTTTTTTTTTTTTTTTTGGTACCAGGGATCGAACTCAGGTCCTTGTGCTTGCGAGGCAGGTGCCGGAACCACTGAGCTAAATCCCCAGCCCTTTATTTTACTCTTTATGGAAGCAGCCTATATATATCCATCAACAGATGAACGGTAAGGAAAGCATATATTTATCCACCACAGAGTACTACTTTGCCAGAAAGAAGGATAAAATGGAATCATTTGTAGGAAAATGGACGCACCCAAGCGAAGTGAATCAGACTCGCAGGCTGAATCGCCGGGTGGTTTCCCTCATAAGGACCCCGAACGGCCCAGATCGCCGACTGAGTCCTGCCTTCTCCAGCCACTCAGGCTCCTCTGGGGTCAAGGAAGGAAGGGATTGATGCACAGGCCTCCTGCACGATTTACTTGGCCTCACAGATGCTCCATTTGCGAAGTAGGGATACAAATGCTGACCTACTTTGAACATGTGATTCCATAGCACATTTGAAAGCAAAGGACCAACCCACAGAGGGGTTCAGTCTGATCAGGTTCTTTTTTACAGTGCTGGGGATCAAACCTGGGTCTTTGTCGTGCTAGGCAAGCACTCTATCACTGAGCTACACCCCCACCTAACCCCCAAGTTGCCCCTCCCCCGTCTCACTGGCCACTTCAGTGTTTGTTCCTGTCCAAGGCAGGGGGATCTCAACACACAGAGGCCCACACACTTCTAAACACAGTAGACATTCAATAAACATTGCTTGGTAGCTGGTTGGCCATGTCTCTTTCCTCTTCCTACAAAACCTTAAACAAAAGCCCTGTGGAAATTCAGAACATCTTTCCCTCTTGCTCTCTTTCTAGAAATATTTCTGAGCCCTTTCTATGGAGCAGGTGCTGTGCTAGGCTCAGAAGAATCAAAAGTAAGTCAAAAGGACGTACTGGCTCTGCCTTCCTAGAGCCTCTGGTCTGGTGGACCAGACAGACACTAATTAAATATTACTACAAATAATTTGACCAGATTAGGAGGGCTTCAGACAATTTTCCAAAAGACATAAGCACTCACCTGAGGTCTCTAAACAAGTTGGAGTTTATTAGGCATGGAGTCCAACTGGCAGTAGGAAAGCTCCAAGAAGTGGAGCAGCATGTGCAAGTGTCCTGTGGCTGACATTACACTAGCCATGAGACAGACTGCAGGAAGACACAGAGGGGCCTAAGAGGTGGGCAGCAGAAGAAGGTCACAATGTGTAAGACTTTGTGGGCCACATTATGATATTTTCCCTTTGTCTAGGGAAGTCATCAAAGGATCTTAAATCACATGATTAGGCTTGTATTCTGAAAAGATTACTCTGCCTGCAATTTATGACAAAAAAAAAAAGATTTATGACCAAAAAATTTAGCAGTCCTATTACAAGGGGGATGGCAAATGGATGCCCCTTTTGTCAGAATTCCTACCTCTCATACCTGTTGCAGACACTGCTAATCAATTACAGCAAAGCATGGTCCTCAGCCCAGCAGCCTCAGCGTCACCTGATAATTTGTTAGAAATGTAAATTATCAGACCTCACACCAGACCCCTTGAAAGGGAAACTCTGGAGGTAGAAGCCAGCAATCTATGGTATAATAAGCCCTCCAGGTAATTCTGATGTATGCTGAAATTCGAGAACCACTGAACTATAAATCGTTCTTAATGAAGCCCCAGTGTAGCATCAAAACCTCCTCTGAGATGGACATGGTGGCGCATGCCTGTAATCCCAGCCCTCCAGAGGCTGAGGTGGGAAAATTGTCATGAGTTGGAGGCCAGCCTGAATGAACTAAACGGCAAGATCCTGTCTCAAAAAACCCAGGGCCTGACCTTTTAGGCCACTCTTGCAAACCTGTGGCAAGCATTGCTGCCTCGGGCTGTTTGTATGCATCATTGAAAGCTCTAAAAGGTTTGCCATCGCTGCTCTGGGTACTCACTACTAATACAGACTAATTGCACAGAGCCTGGGCTGCCAGAGCTTCTGAGGGGGCTTCATAGAACCAGCTGTGCAGCTCGAGAAGCTCAGGCTCTGGCAAAGCCCTAAATGTAGGCATTCTGCCATGTGGCCCAGAAAACTGGGTGGCCTGGAGATCTGGTCTCCAGCCTCTGCTCAGCCACTGCCTCCTTCTTCCTTCTGGGCCTCAGTTTTTTCATCTGTGCATTGATGAAGGTGTCTCTGAACGGGGCCCTTCTGCAGTTTCCAATCCAGTGTGAAAGGCACTTGGTCCTGTGGGGAAACCCCTATAAATTGGCCTCTCATGGCTGGCAGTGGAGTGGGGAGTGAAGAGGTGGCAGGGATGTTGCCCAGAGCGTGTGAGAGGCAGCACATGACTCAACCCTGGAAAGAGGCATCCATCACCCTGGGCAACCAGAAAACCAGGGGACGGAGCGTGGGAGTGAGGGAAAGAAGAGCCGAGGCTCGTGGCGGCACTCTCCCAGGCCTGGGAAACATTGAGAGACTGGAGGGCCCTGAGCTCGGGAGGGGGAAACCTGAGAGTCTAGGAACGTGCAGGATACAAAATACGCGCCCCTGAGCGTCTTACAGGTCCCAAGACCTCATAATGGCCGTGCCTCCCGCAGATCCAGCTATCTGGCGTCTTCTCAGCTCAAATGTCACTTGCCATAGAGGCCCTCCCTGATGAGGCATCCGTCCCCCTTCGCTTTTTTATGGCCCTCAGAGCTCCTACTGCTCTTTGGAATCACTGTATTGATTTGCTCACTGGTCCGTGGCCATCTCCCTGCCTTCTCCTGGATGGCAGCTCCCTGAGGGCAGAGGTCACCCTGTGTCACAGCCCAGCACAGAGTGAGTGCTCAGCGGAGCCACCACGATGTTCGGGGAGCCCCTGGGGAGGACTTGCTCGGAACTTCAGCGCGTCCAGCCATCTCCGGATGGGGACCGTGATCTTGTCCCACTGCTCAGGTGGAAGCAGAAGACAGCTAAGGCTCACAGGCCACGCAGGCAGCAGTGGTGGGGCAAGGCTCAGACTGTGCTGGACGTGGGCGTGCGGTGCCCCCAGAATCGTCACAGAGGAGGGAGGGGCCTCGTGGGCTGAGACGCCCCAAGTTCTGGATTAGGAACAGCGGCTGGAAACAGGGCCTTCAGGCTGGAGTTCCTTCCTTAGGATTCTAAGGGGAAGCCCTGCTTTACACAGCTGCTGTCCACCTTCTGGAATTGTAACCCCCAAGGGGGCTTTGCAAGCCGAAAATAGAAAGGAGTTCAGTAAGGGCTGCACAAAATTAATGGATGACAGGTCCCCAGTGGTAATTAAAGGAAGTGACAGATGCGAGGGGGTTGGGCCTAGACGGCGGAGGTCAGCACCATGCCGGGGACTGCCATGGTCTCCCCCAAATGGGTCCCAGGGCCACAGGCGAGAGCTGCAGGCTGGGAAGCACGTGGGAGGTTCTGCTCAGACCCCAGCCTCCCTCTGGCTGCCTGGCCATTCCCTCCCACCCTGAGGCCCTGGCCCAGCTGCGCTGTTGGGGACATGTGTCTTGACTTGGGGACTCATCTACCCACGATGGGCAATTTGCATATGTTCTAGTATTTTTTTTCTTTGCTGACTCCCCTTCTTTTCCAAGGAAAAGTTGGGGTTTTTTGTTTGCTTTGCAAGGTCTTCATTACTTCCTCAGCTCTCAGCAGACCCTGCTCTCAGACCTACATTGTGGAAGCCGGGACAGCATTGAGCAGGGACAGCAGCCTGCTCTCCCTCCCCTCAGAGGCAGGGGTTCTGCGGCCACCCAGGAGGAGGTGGCTCTGGTGAGAGAGTTGCTGGCTGGGCCTAGCCCCTCTCCTCAGTGGCAGGCAGCCTTGGGTCCCCTAAGGCAGACAGAACTCCGCCTGGGCCTTTTCTGCCCTTTGCTGCTGCAGCTTCTTCCTGGCTGAGGACAGAGGTCAAATGCTCAGACACCCACGTGTATACACAGCACCCATGTGCCCTGCACCTGCACACAGTGCACATTGTGGCCGTGCTCCTCAAACTCAGGTGCACCAGAATCACCTAGAAGCTTAGGGGGATGTGAGGCTCCACTGCTTTCTGATACTGTTGGTCTGGTGAGGATGTGTATTCTGAGCACAGGCCCAGGCACCGCTGCTGCTGCTGCTGCTGCTGTTGTCAGGCTCTGAGAACTGCTGCTCCGGAGATGTCCACATGTGCACGCGTAAAAGGCACTGTCATGCACAGCAAATTCTGCAGAACAGCAAGAGGAGCGAGGCACCTCCAAAGCTGTGGACCGGTCTTAGGGATTCCTCGGCCTAAGAACGCATCGTTGCAGTATGATCCTCTTTCACTATGTCTGCTTCACCGTGCTGCTCACTGGTCTCCCCATTTCTGCCTCTTTCTCCACCTCCCTGCGCCTTGCAGCCTCCAGGTGGCTTCCTGGCTCCTCTGCACACATGAGCTCATCCATCTCCATCACCCTGTGTGTGAGTGGCAGACAGGTGAGAGAGGAAGATTACAGGAGAGCAGGCTCAGCTACCCGCTAACAGCAAACTGGCTCACCACAAGAACACAGCCAATTATTCCCGTGTTCCAAGTGATAATCATTAATGCCACAGGAAATTCTAAACAAGCGATTAAATCATTACTGGGGAAGGTGCAGTGAGCCAGTGCCTCCCTTAAGCTCGCCTTGTACTGTTGATCTCTGAAAGGCACCTGGGAGATGGGGAAGGGACGGGCACTGCCCAGTCCTGTAACATCACTAGCAGCCAGTGTGGAGCTGGCCCCAGACCTTACCTTCTCCTCTCTGAGCTGCAGTCCCAGCTGCGACCGCCAGGGCCCTTCCTGACCACCCCTTCCTGATAGCTTCTGTTGCAGGAGCCCTTTGGGATCAATCCCACTTGAGGAATCCATTCACTCTCTGACACTATCTACAGATTTTTACTGAGTATCTACTATGCTCCTGGCAGAATTCTAGGTACTGGGGACACAATGTGAATAAGACAGACAGGTCCCTTTCCTCCGGGAGTTTACAGTCTAGTGGGGAAGGCAGAAGATCACATAGTAAATAAGTAGCCAGGCACAGTTATACAATCCTGTAATCTCAGCTTCTCAGGAGCCTGACACAGAAGGATCACAAGTTCAAGATCAGCCTGGGCAATTTACCATGGCCCTCTCTCTCAAAAAAAAAAGAAAAAAAAATTTTTAAGGGCCAGGGATGCAATTTAGCAGCAGAGCCCTTGCTTAGCAAGCACAAAGCCCTGGGTTAAATCTCAGTACTGAAAAAAAAAAGAGTAAATAACTAAGAAAATAATCACAGATGTGGCAAGTGTTCAGGAAGAGATAAGTTCACCTAGGAGACGAGGTGTTTTGAGTGGAGTATCTAGTGGGAATGTCTTGAAGGCCTCAGTCTCTACCGGACAGTCCTCCCTGGAGCTGGCCAACAGTCTGTGGCTGCCTTTTGGGCCTGCAGGTCATGTTTTATACAAATATCTGCAAAGTCTCGGCAGCCTTCTTCCCACCCAAGTCCCTAACACACTATCTTTGGAAAGATAATGAATATCTATAACAGCTACTGTGTTTTAGCACTTACTACGTGCCAAGCATTGCACTAAGCAATTTATGGTCATGACATCATTTCATCCCAGAACAATAATAATGTTATGAGCTAGGTGTCTTTTAATCCCCATTTTACAGACAAGGAAATAGAGACCTGAACAATGAAGCCATTTGGCCAAGTGATACAGTAACTAGGTTGATCCAGCTGGGACTTGTGTGGAGGCTTTTTAAGCCCCACCTTGTCCTGATTCCCAGGAGAAATGTGGGAGGCTTGTGTGGACATCTCAGGATTTATTTCAAGGCTAAAAAACAGGCAACCTAGGTCCCTCTGGAGACTGAGTTACATCAGAGCTGGACAGCCTGGGCCGCTTACTCAAATATAACAAGAGGGACTCCTCATGCTCCAAGTCTCCAAAAAGCAGTCCATAAAGGGGCAGCTAGTAGAGATGGTCAGCTGCAAGATCCCACTTACTCAGGGGCCCCAGGTGAGGCCCTTTAGCCCTTGTAGACTGTGGGTCCCGGTAGAACTCACAGGGACCATCAGTCCTACCTCCCCACTGTCTCCCAGGATGCTGAATCCCCCAGAGGGTTCCTCCAAGTGTCCCTGAACGTCCTCCACCCCCCACCCCTGTGGCCAGGCCACACTCCCTAGGGCCATGGGGCAGCCAGAGAGAGGCGGACAGGACCAGAGCCTGGGTCTGCGGTGACTAATCGGCTAATGCTTGGGAGGCCATGGTGAATTATTCACACAGATTCTGTGAATTATTCACGTTGTTATTATTTATTTTTCAGATATGCCTGCAGCAGAGCCTCCAGGCCCATGTTCAAAGGATGACAAAACTCCTATGCCCTGGTCGCCTCTGTCTATGGAAAATTAGCCAGCCTCTCTCCTGCCTCACCGGTGAGTCTCAGAGCATAGGCTGAGGGTTGGGAGCTGCTGCCTGCGGGCAGACTCCTGGAGAGCCCTTACTCTGGCCCCAATTATAGAAATAACAGTCACCTCTTACTGAGGCTTAGCTGTGTCTCAATACTGGGCTTTCCATAGAGAGGCTCAAGTGATTGTCACAGCTGCCTGAGGAAGCATACTGTCAGCTCCCTTTTGCAGATGAGGGAACTGAGGCTCAAAGATGTGACATCCCTTGTCCGGGGCCACCAGTTAGTAATCGGGATTCAGGGCCATTCCTGTGGACTCAAAAGCCAGCGGCAGCCACACTGCATGTATCAGTGGGTGCTGTGTTTGAGAAGGTCCTACAAACCTCTTTGCTGTCCCAACTGCACCCTGGGCATCAAACTGTCCCAAGGGTAGGCCCCGCCCCATGCCTCCAATGCTCCCAGAGGAGACATCTGAATCTCTATGGCAACAGAATCTTGAGCAACCAGAGCTGTGCTTGGTCTGTTCTGAGAAACAGAGGTGGCCTTTGCCCATAGAGGGCCTCGGGTATCTGAGGCTCTGAGCACGCATGACGGCTCCCTGGCGTCCTCCATCCTCACACGGCTCCCCCTCTCACCCAGAGGCAGACAGGGCACCACTTCTCCCTCCCAGAGCTCTAACGGAAGCAGCTGTCCTGCCTCCTGCCTCCTTTCTCCCAGTTCGCCTGCCTGCTGTCTAACCTCCATCCCTCTGGCTGCAGATCCGGCCCTTTCCCAGAAGAATCCTCTTCCCCCACCCTTATATGCCACCTGGAGGAGGAGAGGAAGACACATGGACTCAGCCCTGGGTAGGTCCTAGGAAACCCTGGTCAAGGTGACCAGTGTCTCACTCCTGTCCTAGGAGGGCAGCTTTGTCTTTGTGCCAGTTCGTTCGTTTATTCATCCAGTGAATACCTAATGGGTCCCAGGTATTGTTCCAGGGGCTGAGGATGTGGCCAAGAGCGGCTCCTTGTCAGTGCACACACACACCCTCTGTGAGGCCCAGCTTCCTCTCCTAGGACCTGTTTCTCCTGATGGAAGGCAGCAGTGTCACAGGGACACTGGATTTGGCCTCGCTCTTCCCATCCCTGACTCTCTGGGTGACCTTGAGCTAGCAGCTCCCCCCACCCAACCTTCCCCTTTTTGAAATAAGGGAGTGGGGCCAGCATCTGCTAAGGCCCTGCTGGCCCTGCTTTTCTCAGGTGTCAGTAACTCAATAACAGGAACAACATAATCATTTCCATCCTACAGCTGTGAAAGTCAGAGCGTTGCACGTGCTCCCTCTCAGGTGGACTTAATAACTGTCCCTCTCTTCTTGGCTCTGTGCATTTTAAAGAGGAGTCTGGGGACGGCTATGCCGCTAGCAGTAAATTTCAGTTGCCAGAGGGGGAAGGAAACAAGCCTTTGCAGAATCCTATGCTCTCCTCACAAATGTGCCTTATGAATCTTTGCAGAGGTAGATCTTATTATCCCCATTTTACAAAGATGCTGCAGGGTCAGAATTTGAACCCAGGCCCCAGATAGCCAGTACTCTTGCTGCTACCCCATGATGCACTGTGGCTCCCTCTCCCAAGGCCTGAGCCGGAGCTGGGGATGGGTGGGTAGGTCAGCCCTCTTCTATGAAGTTGGGTGACACAGATTTCTACTTTCTCTGCCAATGGCATAGGAGATGTCGTGGGCCCAGCTGTGCTGAGTCATGCAGGGCTTTGTAAGTTTCAGGTTTATATTTGCTCCAAACCAGCCATCTCAGGAGGTCTGGGGCTGTGCTACCTCCCCATCTCAAAGCACCTGGACCTAGCCCTCTTCCCCAGGGTAGGAGTGAGGGCTAGCAGATGTGGAGCCACCACAGAGTCTGAAACCCAGGGTGGAGGCAGAGTCAGGGGCCCTTGTGCCGCCTGCACCTGGTCCCTTGCCTGCTGGATGCTGGTCTCCACATCAGCCTGGACCCTTCTCCAGTGGTCCTACAGCAGAGCTTCTCAGTGTAGTCTTGGACCACCAGCATCTGAATTGGTAGGGCCGTCCAGACAGCCAGGTCTGATTTGCATATTCCTGCAGACTTGGGCCATGGATCCGGCAGGCATGCGCAGGACACAGGCTGTTGCTGAGCTTCCTCCTAACATATAAACCCTAATCTTCAGTGCCCAGGAACTCACACAGATCAAGTTCGAATCTCGGGGCTGCCACTCACCAGTTAGGCAGCATAACCAGGCAGTTCATCTCTTTGACCTCAGTTTCCGCGTTTGTAAGAGGATGCAAATTGCTCAGTAATTCAGATCTACCACCCCTCTGTCCCGTTCCCTTCCCAAGTGGGGCTACTGTTCTGGAAGTACTAAGGTGCCCAGCAGGTTCGTGGCTGGCACCTCTGAGTGTCGATGTATCTGGTGGCAGTGCTGAAACACACCTGTTCTCTGAACCGCAGCCTCTCTCAGGGCGCTGCCCAGCCAGCTCTCCAGACCTCTGGCTCAGATGGTGTGGGGTGAGAGGACCCCTTGTGAAGCCTTGAAAGTCAGACTTGGCATCAGGAAGGGCTGCCTCGTGTCCCGGGGCAGAAGGTCCTGCAGACAGATGGGCCTGGGCTGTGATCGGGACCCAGGCAGAGGCACCGCTCTATCCTGGAAAGCTGCCATAAGCACAGCCTGAGGTTCAGTAGTGTTGGGTCCTCACCCCATACCTCTCACCCTTGGATAGGGTTAGCACTGTTGATGGTCTTGTACAGATGACAGATGAGAGGCTGTCTTTCAGCCTCTCTCTCTCTCTCTCTCTCTCTCTCTCTCTCTCTCTCTCTCTCTCTGTCGGCAAAGCTGGGATTTGAACCCAGGTTCTCATGCTTCCAAGGTTTGTGTGAGTTCCCAGCACTGATACCACCTCCCTCCCTGTGCCCTCATCCCAGCCCCTCTGACTGGGAGCCAGGATGGCAGAAGTGAGTCCCTGACCCCTATTCCAAACAACTAACTGCCCTCCCCACTGCTGCAGGCCCACTGGGAATCTGCCCCTAATTGCCTTTAGGCTGGGAGGCCATTAGCCCGTGATTGCATCCCCAGTGTGGGCCTTTCCCTCTGGGCGCCTGCTCCAGTTCCCATAGGGGTTTGAGAGTATGACGTCAGCCTCCCATCCCAGGGCCTGGCCGGCTTGGCTCCCAGCCTTCCACCCCACCCCCCATCCCAAGCAGGCTCCTCCGAGAAGCTGGATCCTCTTAATGCAGGGCAGCCGAGAACCCCGGGAGGAGGGGTTTCCCCCAACCCCAGTCAAGTACAGCATACATTCCCTGCTCACACACCCACGGGCCCTGCTGCTGAGGGCCCCTCAGGCTGATCCTCTTCCCAGAGTGGTCCAGCAGCTGCCTCTGTCCTCTCCAGGAAAGAGTTAAGGTCCTGGGAGGGAGGCTTCTGAGCACTATTCCTCTGTATGTGGCCTTGGTCCAGTCCCTTCCATTACCTGAGCCTCAATGTGGTGGGTGCGCCTGTTTTCCCTACCCTTCTTCCAGCAGGAAAGGTGATTCGGGTCTCATCTGCCGGTGAGTGCTAGGCACTCTGTCGGGCCCTGAGGATTCCAGCGTGGCAACTTCTGCCTTCACAGGCTGGGACCAGGAAGCTCAGGCTGTCAGGGAGTGGGAACTCAAAGGAAAGACTTCAGCTGGGAAGCGTGGTCTGAGAAAGCTCCTTTTGTCCTTTTTAGAGGCCTGAAGAATGAGGAAGAATTCACCAAGTAAAGGAAGATACAGCGGGGCTGTTCTCAAAGAATCCCAAGCAGAGAGAGCAGTGGACAGAGGCCTTCGGATGAGGGTGTTGAGGTGGAGGTGGAGGCTGGACTGAGGCCTTGCTTGTGTGGACTGTGCTCTGAGGGCATGGAATGAGCACAGAAAGACTTGGGGGGCTGGGGATTTAGCTCAGTAGTGCTGCTGCCTGCTTTGCAAAGTGGAAGGTCCGGAGTTCCCTGGTACCAAAAAAAAAAAAGGCTTGGGGCAAGAGCATCCTGCAGTTGCCATACAGAGGAAGGATTTGGGGCCAGAGGGGTGAGGGTGACCTTCAAGCAGGCTCCCAACCATTTGTCCCTCCTCCCCCATGAGCGGGTACAGCTCCTCCTTCCGGGTTAGAAAGGGAGGCAAGACTGCAGCTGTTTCTCCTTTCCCCACACTCATGGGCTGACTCCTTTCTGGACAGACACAGACACATGTACGCGTGCATAGACACGCACACACCTGCTGCTCTCCCTGGCAGAAGAAAGGCAGGGATGATCTGGGAGAGGGGACACAGAGCCATCTGACCTGGGAGAGCTAGGTGAGAAGGGGTTTCATACTCCGCTGCAACTCTGTCACCTCACCCTGCAGTGTCGCCCACCCCCACCCCCGGGAGCTGGGAACACACAGACTGTATGTGAGAGTGTACTTGTGTGTGGACTGGGATGTGTGGTGTGTTCAAGAAACACAAGGGAGGTGCCCCCAAGGGCAGCTCCAGGGTGGAAAGGGATTTTAGGATTCTGAGATTAAAGAATTAAACATCCTGCCACAACCCCCTCGGAGCCTGGAATCCTTGCGGCCTCACAGCAGAGAGCTCTCAGCTGAGCCAGGCCAGAGCTGCACCAGCTCTGGGCTGCTGCTTCTGGCCAGGTCTCACCCAGGCTTCCTGAAGCACCTTCCCTGCCTGGGACCCAGGCCACATGGGCTCAGACCCCCTCAGGTGCTCTAGCCAGACTCCAGCCAGCCTTCATCAGGGTGCAGCCCTGACCCAGGGGCTCAGATGTGTCTGTTCACTCTGCCCATCCCGGCAATCTCGGTCCAACAACCCTTCGCTCCCCTCCTGTGCTATCCCCCACCCTGCTGCCAGAGAGGCTTCCGAGAAAACTCACTCAGGTTGCTGCTTTCCTTGCTGTCTTTCCATGGCTCCCACTCCCCTCCCAGTGGAAGCCAAACTCCTCCCCGCAGCTGACAAGGCCCATCAGCCCTCTGGTCTCAGTGTCTGAGCCAGATGGAGCTCTCCTCTCCGGCCATCCAGGAGTGCTGGGTGCTCACCTCCCTGCCTGCCACCCCACTGCACCCCAAGCCTCTGTACTGCCATTGTCACTCTTGGAGACCCATCACTCACATGGCTCCACTGAAACCCCTCCTAGATGCTCAGGCCTCAACTGAGAAGTTCATTCTTGGTAGAGGCCAGGAGCCTGTGACCACCATACAGACCCCTTGAGGGCTGAGTGTTCCCCTTCTCCCCAGAACTTCACCTGCTGCAGCACTGAGCACCCTGTGCTGCAAAGGCCTATTGGACATATGTATCCCGCACTCTGCTGTATGCATAAGATGGCAACGGCATATTCCAAGAGCAGGAAGGGATGTACAGGGGCTGAGCAGGCAGGAAGCTTCACCTTGTGGTCAGGTTCAAGTGTCAAAGACACAGCTGCCACACTCAGGGTGATGTGACAGCTGTGATTCCCTGCACGGACCCCAGGCCAGGCCCTCTGCTGAGCACTATCTCATTTCACGCCCAGTGACCTTTGGAGAGGTGTCATTGCTACATCCCTGATTCAAAGATAAGGAAACAGCTATGGCGTGGCTGTGATTTGGCGCACCATACTGTTGAGGAAGCTTATTCCCCAGTGGGCGGAGAATTGCCATGCGGGACCTTTTAGACTGATTAAAGCAAGAGGGCTCAGCACTCATGAATGGACCAATCCATTCATGGATTTTGTCTGTTTGGTTTGATTGTTTGTCTGTTTGTTTTGAGACAGAGTCTCGCTATGTTGTTTGGGGCTGGCCTGAACTTACTCTGTAGTCTGGGATAGATTCAAACTCACAGAGATCCTCCTATCTCAGCCTTCCCAGTGCTGGGACTGTAGGCATGTGCCACCATGCCTGGGGGTGGGTTATATTTAATATATATAGTTTTGGTGGTGCCAGGGCCTCACGCATGCTAAGCAAGTGCGCTACTGCTCATTCATGCAGCATTCATGCCTAGATGGAGCATCGGGTTAATGGACATCTCCAGGGTGGGCCTATCATAAAAGCCAGTTCGGTTCTGTCTCTGGTATGCATCTCTCCTGCCCCACAGTGCCCTGTGCCACCTCCAGGGTTCCAGAGTTCCCACCACCTGGCCCTCACCAGATCTGATGCAGAAAGCTTAATTTACCCAGTGTCATTCAGCCAGAGGCCTACAGGCCAGATCTCCCTCAGGTACTGGGACCTCTGCATTCTGTGCAGCGCATCTGGAACTCAGAAAGACCATTTCTCAGCTCCAGAACCCTGAGTGGACCAGAGAAATCACCGGGCCCCCGTGCACACACCAGGAGCAGCCTCCTTCCCTGGCCACAGAGTAGGGTTCCCTGAGTCCCGGGGGGATTCCTGGAGGTGGAAGAGAAGCAAGTCCTTCATGATGCCCTTGTTCCCACTCGAGTCTCCTTCGGAGCAGAAGTCTGGGAAGTCAGGAGCGCGGCCCTCCTCATCAGGGCAGAAGGTAAGGTGCTGGATTGAATAGCAAAGCAAATTTGGCTGGAGAGGAAATGAGATTTCTTTGTCAAGGTGAGAGTGTCTGGGAGAGCCAGGAACGGGGTGGAGTGGGGAGGAGTGGGGCACTTTAGAGGGGCTGCAACAGGGGGAGTGCGGGTCTGGAATTATTCGAATGTTGATTATATCCTCTTGATTGTTAATGAAATTCTTCACCTTGCATTTCTGGACCAGGGGGAAAGCTCCTGGAGCTCATTTTCCCACTGATGAGAGCAACAGAAAGGGCAGGAGGAGGCAGAAGACGCTCGGCTCAGGGAGAAATTAAATTCTCCCTAACAAATGGGACTGGACAAGCCTGGCTGCTGCCGTTTGGAGGCGGAGCCCCAGGGTGACCTGAAGTTCCCTGTGGGGATGGGATGGAGACCCCTGGGAGGGGGTGGCCCTGAACCCCACACCTGAGGCAGCGGAGAGCAGCTCTAGTTATAACTGATGTCGGGCTGGGGACTTAGTTTAGTGGTGCCGACGCCTGCCTCGCAAGTGCAAGAACCTGAGTTCAATTCCCGTACCAAAGACAAACAAAACAAAACATAAAACTGATGTCAAGTGCCTTCCACACCTCCCAAACAAAGGACTGAGCATGTGTTATCCCAGTGAGTCCCCCCAGTAGCCCTTGGAGGTGGGTCTTCTTATCCCACCTTGCAGATGGGTACACTAAGGGGCAGGCAGGACAGAAGCTTGTCTACACTCTGGAAGCTGGGGAGTAGGGGTGCCAGAACTCCATGCCAAGCAATACGGTGCCAGCGTGTGTCCTTCGCGATTGAAAAATCCCCAGCTCTGCTTGCCCAGTTCCCTGACCTCCACTGCCTCTCCTGTGACATGGAGGACACATCAGTTGTTGACACGGAAGGCTGCTGAGAGGAGTAATGAGATTGAAAACAGCTGGGCCCAGGAACAGCATCGCTTTAAAGCCTTGTTTCCTGCTTCCAAAGGGCCAAAGTGGTTGGTTGAGCACCTAGGACGCACAGGCACCGTTACAGACTCCAGGGATATGGGAGTGAACAAAGTGGACGAAATCCCTGCCTTGACTGAGAGGGGGCAGACCACGAACGAAATAAATTAGTTAATTAAGATGGCAAATGCAACGGAACACAACCAACCAATGAAAGAGGAAAAAGAGCGCTGGTGTGGAGGGTCACAGTTCAAATAGGGAGATCTGAGAAGGAAGAATGTGAATTAAGCAAACACATATCTAGGGGAAGAGCATTCTGAGGAGAAGGACTAGCAAGTGCAAAGGTCCTGAGGTGGGATCAAGCTGGTATCTTATAGAAACAGCAAAGAAGCCAGAACAGCTATGTTAGCAAAGTACACTAGTAGGAACTGGAGTCACAAAATAATGGGTAAGTGCAGATTGTGTGGGCTTGTCGGGCTTGTAAGGACTTTTGGCTTTTATCGGAATGAGCCCATAATCCACCAGAGGATTGTAGACATGGTCCGATCTATGTTTTCAGGGCACCACTCTGATTGTGTCACTGAGAATGTACTGCATGTGCCTAGATGCAGAGAGGAGGGCTGGGAGGCTACTGCATCAACCCGGGTCAGCGAGGTAGCGAGGGGGGTGTTGCTACAAGGTCAGATTCTGGACACAATGTGAAGGTAAAGCCAACCAGCTGAGCCTCTGAGCCAAAGTGGAGAGAGAGGGAATTACTGCTGACTCCAGATTCGTGACTCCCCCTCTGTCGGTTCCCTGAAGACCTGGTGCTCCAGCCTGCCTTCTCCCACTGTCCAGGCCTGTGCCTCAGAGCCCAGGGCAAGGGCCAGATGCAGCTTGACCAGGAGGAGACAACCTGCCTCAGGGCCTTCGGGGGCGGCCCAGCCCTCCCCACAGGAGCCCATCGCACCCTGACACCCCCCTCAGCATTCAAGGCTCCCAGCTCCTGCCGACAGTCAGGCTCGCTGTTCCTCCCCAGAAATGGCTCTACTCATCCCTGCTATGCAGCAGCTGGATCTCAGCTGGAGCAGCACCACCTCCAGGGGGCGCTCCCTGGCCTGCTGTTCTAGATGCAGCCCCTGAAATCCAGCTCTAGTAGCCCTGAGCGTGAGCTCCTACCCCAGGCGCGAGCTCCTCTTTGCTTGTGTGATTATTTGACGAAAACTTGTTCCCTCCCCTGACTATCGCCTCCATAAGGCCAAGGGCCTACCTATGTCACCAGAAGCATGCTGTTCACCAGAAGGGACAGTCAGTAGGTACCGCAGAGATCTTAGGCTTTGGGCAAATTAACTTTCACTGACCACCAAGTCTCAGGAGGTCAGGTAAATGCTTGACTCAGAGCAGGTTCTTAACATGTATTTATTAGAGTAGTGAATCAGAGTTCTGTAAGACCCTGGACATGTGATGTATCTTCTGAACTTCAGTTTCCCCATATATAAGGATGGGAAGAAGAACACTCACTTCATACGTCATTATGAGGATTTAAAAACATAAAGCATGAGCAACGCCTCACACTACCTAGTAGATGCTCAATAATCGCTCTTCCGATGCATGTTCAGACAATTACCACCGCACGGCTCCCCCGTGCTTCCTCTCCTCGCCTCCCGCCCTCCCAAGCCGCTTTCCTTCCCCTCAGCCCCGCTCCCCTCCTAAGGACTCCCAGCTGTGGAATCACCAAAGCCCCCAAACGCTCCCCTTCTCCCCCAAGATTCCCAAATTCGCCACTGGTTACATATTGATCCTGTTTAACTTTCCCAATGGATGATAAACATGAAATTAAAATGACTTCCTGGAATATTAATGTAGTAAATGGCCCTATTAAAAGAAAGAAAATACAGCTGAGAAAATTCGCTTTGATGTAGCGTTTCTGCAAGAGGCTCATTTATCTGCAGCTCAGACCCTCCAAATGAGATTCTGAAGATTTCTCTGATGTCTCTTATTTTTCCCTCACCCAGAATTTAAACAGAAAATAGAATCACAAGTTGGTGTCATAAAAACGTCGGCCTTTTCCCATCTCAATGAAAAAGCAAATGAAAACAGGGCAGGGTAAGTGTCAGCCTCTGCGAGCACGGAGCCCAGGGCTTAGCTGCTTCTCCCAGCCTCTCCTGCATTTTGCCAACCACAGCCTGCTGCAGGTGGCCAGGCCGGCCTTGGAGGCCAGAGGGGCACTCAGCGGCCAGGGCTGCTGCTGAAATCAGTAAGGTGACACAAGACCAGAGTGGGCTGTGACCCAATGTAAATACTCCGGTATTATGGACTTCAAATATTGGCTTTGTCACTCTTTAGCTATGTGGTCTTTTTGTTTGTCTTTTGAGACAGGGTGTAACTATGTATTCCAGGCTGGCCTCAAACTCACAGCGATCCTTCTGCCTCAGCCTCTGGAGTGCTGGGATTATAGACGTGTGCCACCACTCGAATAAAGTACTTGGCCTTTCCTCGCCTGTTTCCTCGCCTGTGAAATGGGAGTACTAGTACAGTACATAACTCAAAGGGCAGTTATAGACATGAAATGAGATCATATATCTCACATGCAGCAGGTGGATAATATTGTTCTTGCTTGTTACTATGAGTACAACTAATTCATACTTATTACAATCATTCAGGCCTTGGCTTTTCTAACCTCTAAACTGCCTCAGCACAATTGCAGCCCTGGTTAGCTCCTCCTCTGCCTCTTCCACCAGGATCGGCCTGGGTCTTGCTTATGATCACACCCTAGGGATGCAGAGTAGAACTCTGCCGTGCTGTAGATAAACCCAGGGCTTTCCACACCAAGCCACACCCCCCAGCCCTTTCTGTTTTTCTTATTTTGAGACAGTCTCCCTAAGTTGCTAAGTTAACTGGACTGGGCTTAAACTTGCTATCCTCCTGCCTTAGCTTCCCAGACTGCTGGGATTACACCTAGGGCACCACCACACCTGGCTCAGCGTAGAGAACTTGAATGGCTTAGAGTAGGTGCCAAAGTGCTGGTCCCCCCCAAGCTGGGTCTTCAGATGTGTGTCACACACAGGGTCCTCCTCTGCAGCCTGGAGAGCTTGTAGTGCCCAGCTTGGAGACAGCTGTCCATCCCCTCCCCCGGCCCTATGTCCCTTGTCTACGTCTTCCCTGGGTCTCACTTTGGGCTGTGAAGCCTTTTCCTTCCTCCCCAGCCTCAGAGAAGAGGCAGAAAGAGCAGTTCAGCTCCAGGTGCTCTGAGTAACTTGTCCTTTCTCCTCTCTCTTCTCTTGGTTCTCCCTGCTCCACCCCCCACCCCCACCCTCAGCAACTTCTGCTGAGATCCAGGGGCCCTCTCCCCTGGCTTTGGCCCTGGTAGCAGGTGGAGGGGTACTGCAGGCCCCCTGGCTTAGGCTGACCTTCTCTGGGTACCCCTGTCACCAAGGGTGGGCCCACACAACTTCCTGAACTGGGTCCCTGCTGCTC